AACCACCCTCTGGGAATGCTGAATATGATAGATGGGATCAGGAGAACAGTATGGTAATGTCTTGGCTCTTGGTCTCCATGCAACCACAATTAAGAAAGAACTTCATGTGGGCTGAAACTGCAAATGAGATCTGGGAACAAGCAAAATCCACATATTCAGAACTACGACACTATGCCAAGATCTATCAACTGTTGGCAGTATCATCTACTTGTCGACAGGGGGAGAGAAGTTTATCAGTATATTACTCTGACTTGACCTCTGTCTAGAAGGAATTGGACCATTTCCAGAATGTTGATTGGAAGTGTGATGAGGATGCCAAACTGTACAAGAAACTTGTTTCACAACAAAGAGTGTTTGCTTTCTTGCATGGTCTAAATCCTATGTACGAGTCCATCAGAGTACAAATTCTCAGTTCTAAGGATTTTCCATCAATTCAGGAAGTCTATGCTCTTGTTCAATCTGAAGAGAGTAGAAGGAACTTGATGAACAACACTGGTGGGGATGCAATTGTGTTGGCAGCAAAAGGGGGTGTCTCTACTAGTGTGGGATCTTCTTCCAGGAGAGGGGATCTCCAGAAAAAAACAGAAGATAAGGAAAAATTGTGGTGCTCTAATTGTCAGAAACCCTGACACACCAAGGATACCTGTTGGGATCTCCATGGGAAACCAAAATGGGCTCAAGATTTGACTAAGAAGCAAGGCTCAGATGTGAATAAAAKGTYCGGGCAGCAAGGTACAAAGAAACACCACATGGCCAACATGGTTACTCGGGAGAATCAACCCCCCATTCCTACTGTGACTCAAACACATCTCTCTGGATCTGATCCAAGGGAGGATATTGTAAATTCCTTCCGTGACCATCTAGAGCTCTATGGTAGAGCAATTCGTCAGATGGATGCTCCTCCCACAACCTCATTTGCATCCACGTCAGGTAACCCTGCCACAGCTTTCCATGTTGCTTCTCACAACCTTGACTCTCCATGGATCATTGATTCTGGAGCGTCAAAAGACATGATTGGTATGCCCTCTTACTTTCAAACCTATCACCCTCTTTCTGGAAGAGACAAGGTGAGACTAGCTGATGGATCATACACTTTCATAGCTGGTCAAGGAACTCTCTCTCTTCCTCTTGGTCTTACACTTCCTGATGTTCTTCATGTTCCAAAATTTCCCATGAATTTGTTCTCAGTTAGTAGTGTTACTAATTCCTTAAACTGTTCCGTAACCTTTTTCCCTTCTTATTGTGTGATTTAGGATCTGGCCTCGGGGAGGACGATTGGTAGGGGACGTATGGTTGATGGACTCTACATGTTGGAGAATACGACTGTCTGCATGTTACAGAGTCTATGAGTCAGTTCAGAAAGAGTAAAGTGTACTTATGACATTGTCGTCTTGGTCATTTGTCTTTCGAGTCCTTGAAAGTTGTATTCCCAGAACTGTGTAAGTCAATGTCCGTTTCTGATTTCTCTTGTCAAACGTGTCAGTTAAGCAAGCATTGTAGAACTCATTTTCTTTAGAAAAATAGTAAATCTGAGTTTCCTTTTCACATTGTTCATTCTGATGTATGGGGCCCTGTTACTTTACCTTTTGAGAGTGGCTACAAGTACTTCATTACCTTCATTGATGATTATTCTAGATATACTTGGGTATATCAAATGCGAACCCGGGAGGAAGTACCAAAAATTATCCAAGACTTTCAGYGGATGGTCTTCACTCAATTTCAGACTGAGATACAAATTTTTCAGTCAGATAATGCAAAAGAGTTTTTTCATAGTGATCTCACGGAGTTCTTTGCTTCACATGGCCCACTTCATCGTAGCTCTTGTGCCCGCACACCACAACAAAATGGTGTGGCTGAACGGAAGAAACGACACCTCCTTGAAGTGGCTCGGGATTTACTACTTCATATGAATGTCCCCAAACGATTTTGGTTTGAGGCTGTCCTTT